CACCTCCTGCAGTAGCCAGGGCCACAGGCCTCCTGGCTCCAGCCCTGTCCTGAGACCCCAGTCCCAAAGGCTCTTGGAGACCATGTCATTGGCCTGCTCACACACTAGGGAGGAAACAAGGCTGTGTGTCCACACCACTGGTGGGATTGTACTGTGCCTGGGATTGGCTGGGGACAGAGGACCCATGACCACCTGCTCTGGCCATGCACATCCTCCTGGCCACCTCCCTTGCCTCGCTTGGCCACAGACCTCTTTTTTGCCTGCTCCTTGAGGCTCCATCTCCTTGCAGGGGTCATGGGGCACCACTGACCCATCCCCCTGCTGGCGTACCCAGCTGGTAATTGAAAATACCAGAACTCCCTGATGACCAACTTCCAGAGAAACCTGATCCAGGGTGGGCGGCGGGCAGCAGGAGGGGCCACAGCGCATCCAGCTGTTCCTGTTAATCCCCGGATTCCAGGAGAAAGGCCAGCCCTGCCTGGCCCCACCGACCTGCCTTGGTCATCTTCCCTGTGGTGCCGCCTCCTTGCCACGCCCGGGTCACGGGGCTTAAGGGATCAGAGCTCTGGGGGAGCTGCCTGAAACCCAAGCCTCCGGCTGGGCCCCAGGCCTGGACCCCCTTGTGGGTGGGAGGGACCTGCTCTGCTGAAGCTGAGCTCTCAAGGCTGGGTGGGCGGTGGTGACTCAGCAGGACAGAGCCACCAGGCTGTCCTCAGAGGCCCTCTGCAGGCCACAGTTTCCAGACTTCCCTGGTCAGCCCGCATCTACCACTGCCAATGGAGAGGAAAGGCAGGTTGGACCCCATAGGTACCTGGGTTCAAATCCCAGCTCTGATGCTTGCTAACTATGTGAACAAGTTACTTCTCTCCTCTGCCTCTGTTTTCTCATCTATAAAATGGGTGCTATAACAGCACTGGCCATGCAGGATTGGTACAAGTAGTAAAGGAGTTAACTGACTTGAGTCATTTGGTTGGTCTTGGCAACAGGAGCCTTTGCCTGGCTGGCATCATGGGTCAGTCAAGGGGCTTCACACGAGCTTCTCAGTGGAGGGGCAAGCAAGTAGCTATCCCTACCACAACCTTCTATGGCTGCCCAGTACCTGCTTGACTAGGCCATGCTCCTAGGCTGAGTCCCCTCCTGCCTCAGCAGCCTCATCTCCACCTGTCTCGGGGACTCCTGCTCCTGCTGTCCACACCTCAGATCTACAGGCCCAACCACATTACTACTGCTTCGTGACCTTGGACAAGTCACCTTACTTCTCTGGCCCTGATTCCTCTTCTCTTCAAAGTGTGGTCCAGAGTCCAGGCACATCTGCAGCCCCAACGAGCTTTTCAGAAATGCAGGTTCTTAGGCTGCACCCCAGACCTCCCGGCAGCATCTGGGTGCAAAGGCAAGGGCAGCTGGGTAAGTTTTGGTAGTGGCTTATCACAGTGCCTTGTACCCACCTTGCCAGCTCAGTGTGCGCCCACAGCTCCATTGCCATGACACGGGCAAACAGCTGTGCCCTTGTCCTTGCCCATCTCACTGGCTGGACCTCCAGGCTTGGGACCCAGCATGTCAAGGAGCCTTGGGGACCTCCTTGCCTAGCCTACCTGACACCCCTTCCCCTGCAAGGCAGGGCAGGGGGGTCAGCCCCAGGTCATCCACAGCTGAGAGCATCCACCCTGCTTCTCAGAGCACCCAGCCCATAGCCCCAACCCCATACACATTGGCTAAGAGAAGCAGAGACTAGAGGGGGTAGGAGACACCTTATGGACCAATATGGGTGGGGAGACCCCAGGTGGGACCCCTAGATCAGCCAGATTTGTGACACTCTAGAAGGGACTGATTGTGTCGTTTCCACCCTGAACCTCCCAGAGAAGGCGGTCTCAGGAAGCCTAGCAGAATTCCGAAATCTCAGTTCCTCGCCAAGGTGGCTCCAGAGGATGGGATGGGATGGCACTGAGGCTGAAGACTGGGTCACAAATCTCCTGCACAGTTGTCAGTGACACACCTGGTCGCAACAGTGCTGACCACATGCCAGGGATGCCAGGGAGCCAGGAGCCAGGCTGAGGGTCAAGCAGGTGCCCCTGGGTGCAGAAGAAACAGAGGCGTGTCGGGGAGGGTCAGCTGCAGACCAAGGGCTGCATAGGAGCAGGCAAAGAGTGCTCAGGTGCAGACCTCGGGGCTCTGCCAGCTGGGCCTGTAGTGCAGACCAGGGATGGGACAGCTCTCCTAAGGTTTCACAGCCCATTAGCAGCAGGATGGAAAGGACACTTGGGGGAACAGAAACACAGCCAGAAATTGCTAAGCCAGCTCTAAGCCTCAAGCCCACCAGCCAGTGTCCAAGTTTCCACAGGTCCCAGCCCAGGCTTGCACTAAACTCGCTGTGAAACAGATTGAGGGTAGGGAGGGAAAAGGTCAGCCTCAGAATTCTGGTGTTCCCGTGCTGGCCAAGACAGGACATCAGCTTGTCAGAGGGACCAGGAGAGAACTCGGGAGGGGCCTTTTCACTCTGATGGGTCACTAGCTCCTCCTGAGACCACAGGGTGAGGAGTCCGGCATGAAGCACACTCTAGGGAGGACCACATTGGAGCCTGGCCCTGCATAGTCCTCCTCTGGGACCAGCACTGCTCTGAAGAGCAGAGACTCAGGCTCAGATCCTGCCCCCCGCCAGCTGTATCACCTCCAGAAGCCCTCTGCCCATGGGGCTAGTGCTTCCCCCAAGCTGCAGCCAGCTGAGAAAGCACATGGCCCAGGGCCATGGTCAACACATAGTGGGTGCTTTTAAAAGTTTGTTCCATTTGAGAAGGATGCAGAAAACAGCAGGCCAGGTGTGGCATGAGAAGGAATCACAAAAAGACCACATGCCATAAACTCAGGGGTTCAGCAGGTCCCCAATCCCAATGAGTCTGTTTCCACAGCTGTAAAATAAGGGAAATGGGTTGTTATTTATAACAGTCCTTCTAGCACTAAACACAGCTTTCAGTTTCAAACACCCCTCATCTTACTCTCCTCCTCCAGAACACAGATTGCATGGGTTGGAGGCAGGTGGATGGGTGAGTGGATGAATGGATGGATGTATGGGTGGGTAGGAGGGTGAGTGGACAGATGGGTGTATGGATGATGGATGGATGGGTGGGTGGGTGGATGGGTGAATGATGGATGGATGGATGGATAGATGGGTGGATGGATGATACATAGATGGATGATGGATGGATGGATGATGGATAGATGGATGGGTAGAAAGGTGCATGGGAGGGTGAGTGGATAGATGGGTGGATGAATGATAAATGGATGGGTGGGTGGATGGATGGGCAAGTGGATGGATGGATGATGGATGGGTGGTTGGATCAATGAATGGATGGGTAAGTGGTTGGATCAATGGATGGATGGGTAAGTGGTGGGTGGGATGTGAGTAGGTGGGTGGGTGGATAGATGGGTGGGAGGATGATGATGGGTGGATGAATGACGGATGGATGGATGGATGGATGGATGGATGGATGGATGGATGGATGGATGGGTGGGTGGGTGGGTAGATGGATGGATGGATGGATGGATGGGTGGATGGGTGGATGGTGGATGGATGGGTGGATGGATGGGTGGGTGGAGGGAGGGATAGAAGGATTTTATTGAGGTGAGATTCTCATAAAGTGCAATAGTCATTTCATCATGTAAAATTCAGGGACATTTGATATATTCTGCAAGTGCTACCCCAATGTAGTTTCCTTTTTTTTTCTATGTAGTTTCAAAACCTACTTATGACTTCCTCCCCCAAAAGATCCCATGCCCACTGCTCCCCATTTTTCCCTCCCCTCACCCCCTGGCAACTGCTAATATGCCTTCTACCTTACAGGTTTAATTCTCCTAAATAGTCTGTGTAAATAAAACCACACTATATTCCATCTTTGGTGTGTATCTTTCACTTAGCTTATGTTTGAGGTTCATCGATACTGGAGCATAAATCCCCACTTCATTCCTTTTATTTCCTCAGTTCCAGGGATCAAACCTAGAATCTTCACTGAGCTACTTCCCCAAACTTTTTCTTTATGTTTAAATTTGAGACAATTTTCATTAAAATTAAATTACCCAGGCTTGACTCACACTTGCAATCTCCCTGCCTCAGCCTCGAAAGGTGAAAGGTTACAGATGTTGCCACCATGCCTGGCTGCTTTATTTTGTTCTATGACCTTTCACTATTCCACTGTGCACGAGCGCATGCACACACAAGCACAGGCACGCGCGCACACACGCACAAACACACACACACACACACACACGATTTGTTTATCTATTCACGTATTGAGCATTTGGGTTGTCTCTACGCTTCAGTGATTGTAAACAATGCCACCATAAGCAAGTATTTGTTTGAGTACCCTGGAGTTTGCAGTTCCTTGGAGTATTTTCTTAGGGGTTAAAGTGCTAAGATAAATACATATTTATTTGGGGGTCTGTTTTATTCACTGCTGTTTTCCCTGGCACAGTAGGCATTTAGTGCAAACTTTTTCAGGGAATACATGGGTCGCTCGCCTCCTCTGATCTCTGTGAGGGCTTCCGCTTTCTTTTCCCAGAGTCTCCACACCATGTCCAGCACCATGTTCGGTGTCTCTGGGTCCGGGAGGCTGGACTCTCCAAGAGAGAATGAAGGGAGCTCCAGCAGTGTAATCCGTTACTGTGCAGCACTTATGCAAGAGAGAATGAAGGGCATCTAATCCAGCCCACTAGAGGCCAGGCCCAGACAAGGGGTACAGTGCATCTCCCAACTTGAGCTTCCTGGGGATAGCCAAGGTTAGCAGTATCTGTACCCCCAAAGGTGCCCCAGGAGAACGCAGCAGCAGCCCTGTGGCCCTGCCTGAACCCTTCTGCCTATCTGCTCACCCAGCTGGTTTTATGGACTTGCCAGCCCCCCCCCCCCGCCACCCCGGTCTCTTTTCGGGTCAGAGGTGGGACCGGAACCTGCACCGCTATATGCCTGGCCTGACCCCTGACCCCTGACCTCTGACCTCTGGCCTCTCTTCCAGCGCCATCAGCCGTATCCATCATGCATCAGGTGAGCCGCACTGTGGACAGCATCACCCTGTCGTGGTCCCAGCCAGACCAGCCCAACGGCGTGATCCTGGACTATGAGCTGCAGTACTATGAGAAGGTAGCCACGCCACGCTGTCCCTCCAGGCCCCTTCCCACAGCCAGGCCTGCCACCTGCCAAACAAAGCACAGTAGCACGGCAGAAAGAACACGGCTCGGGCTGCCTGCCTCTCCCTCCAGCTTCACTCGTGCCCAGCCGGGCAGCCTGGCCGGCGCCTTGACATCTCTGAGCCTTGCTTTCCTGCCGTGGGTTCCAGCTACTGATGGTTGACCTGCAGCCCTCAAAGCCCTTTCTCCACCAGGGCCTCCTTCAACAGCCTTGTGGTTGTGAAAGGCGGGCTTTCCAAAAAGTTGTGTTAGCTGTTCGAGGCTGTGACACAATACCTGAGAAAACAACTTAAAAAAAGGAAAAGCTCATGCCTTCAGGTTCAGTCTACAGCTAGAGAAGGGAGGAGAGAGAAACGCTGGGGACAAAATAAGCCCTTTGAAGCCATGCCCCCAGTGACCCCCTCCTCCAGCCAGGCCCCTCCTGCTAATAATCATTCAGCTCTGAGCTCCTCCTGAATGAATCCCTGAATGCAGTCAGCACCCTCGTGGTCCCCGTTCACCTCGGAGCATAGCTGCTTTGAGGATACAGCCTTCTACACAGGCGACTCTGGGGCCCCTGGGGTCCACACCATGGCAGTGCTCCGAGAAGTGGTGACAGTCCATCCCCAGTTCCCTCTTCTAGGTCATACCCACTCCTGTGCAGAGAGGACCAGGGCTTTCCCCCAGCCATTCTGAGTCCCCCATGCCTGTGTCCCCTGCACCTGTGAGTCGCAGGGGCAGAAAGGATTTCTCTTGGAGCTTTTTCTTTTTTCTTTTTTCTTTTTTTTTTTTTTTAACTTTCTGCAAAGCTTTATTCCGGAGGGGCTCAGTCCTTCTTGGCAGCTGCCTTCCTCATGGCGGCCAGCACGTTGCTCAGCTCCTCACGCTTCCTCTTGGCGCGGATGTGCGTCCCCACTCTTTTCTTGATGAACTTGAGGGCGCGCTTGTCCTTGGAGACCTTGAGCAGCTCCATGGCGCGCCGCTCATAGGGGGCGAAGCCGCACACTTCCCGGATCATGTCCCGCGCGAACTTGGTGTGTTTGGTGAGACGTCCGCGGCGGCGGCTGTGCCTCGGTTTGCTCACATTCTTAGTCACCTTGTGGCCCTTGTTGAGGCCCACGGCCATGGGATAGCGGAGGGCCATGGCTACTCTTTTTCAATGGTTGCTGTGGCAGAAGCTTGGAGCTTTTTCTTAAAATGAAACAAAGAAATAGAATTTCACAGCAAAATAATAACAGAATAACAACAGTTACCCCATTATATCTTATCTTCAAAGTAGTAGAATACAAGACGCCATCAAAAAACTCTCCCTTACAAAAAGGACACAACAGGTATTAGCACAAAGCTTTGTTTTCAATGATCAAGAGAAACTAATAGTATAAATGAAACAAATTAGCACATATATTAAAATATTTTGAAACAACAGAATAGATAATTTGGGAATCATCTCAATCTCTCCCCACTTCCTATTATCACCATTTTACTCTTCATTTGCAAATATACTTTGGGTTTCTTGTCTAAGAGAAACCACACAATGTTTGAACTTATGTATGTAACTTATTTCACTCAACATTATGTTCTTAAATTGCACTCATTTACCTACAAATGCCTCAAGTTTATCTTTCTTCATGAGTGTAATACTCCACTGTGTATGAATGCATTTTCCTTACCCATTCATCTGTTGATGGATATGCATGCTGTTTCCAAGATCTAGCTATTATAAATTGTGCTGTGGGGGCTGACGAGCTAGCTCAGCAGACTAAAGCACCTGCTTAGGCAAGTGCAAGGACCGTGGTTTGATCCCCCACACCACATGCCGCACCAGCCCCACCCCCAGACCAGATTCAGGTGTGGTGCGGTGCGCCTGTAATCCCAGCACTGGGGAGACTGAAAGCAGGAGGATCACCAGGAGTCTGAGCTGCATAGTGAGACCCTGTAACAACCAAAGTCATTATTAATTAATTAATTAATAAAATAATAAATAAGTTGTGCCGCTATAAACATAGGTATGCACAGAGCCCCGTACGATGATGATTTTAACTCTTCTGGGAGGATACCCAGAAGGGGCATAGCTGGGACAAATGGAATTTCTACTTTTAGTTTTTTGAAGCATCTCCATATTGATTTCAATAGTGGTTGCACTAGTTTACATTTTCACTAACAATGTAATAGAGTTACTTTCCCCCACATCCTCACCATCATTTTTTATTATTAGATTTTTAATTAATTAATTACTATAGGGTCCTGCTACACAGCTCGGACTCATAGTGATCCTCCTGGCTCTCCAGCACTGGGATTACAGGCGTGTGTCACCACACCCAGTTTGGGGTTTGGCATGGTGCACCCAGGGTTACAGGGCCAGCCTGGCATGTGGTACCAGGGAGTGAACCTGGGTCCTTGTACTTGTGAGGCAGGCGCTTAGGCCACCAAGCTATCTCCCTAACCCCTGTTAGATTTTTTTTTTTTTATGATAGCCATTCTTCCTAGAGTAAAATGGTATCTCGTAGTAGTTTTAATTTGCTTTTCTCTAATTGTCAATTTTTTGTGTGTATTTATTTGTTGCTTGTACTTTTTATGAGAAGTATCTGTTCATTTCAGTTGCCCATATTTTGACTGGGTCTTTTATTTTGGGGAGTATAATTTTCTTTTTTTTTTTTTTTTTTTTGAGTCCTTTACTTATTCTAGATGTCAGCACTCTATCTGAGAAATAGCTAGCAAAATTTTTTTCCCATGCTGTAGGGTGGCTCTTCACTCTGTTGTTTTTTTGTTTTGGGGTTGGTTTGTTTGTCTGTTTATCTGTTGCTGTGCAATATCTCTTAATTTGATATGATCTTATTTATTGATGCTAATATTATTTCTTTTACCCTTGGGGTTGTTCAGAAAGTCCTTGCCTATGCCTGCCTCTTCAAACCTATTTTATCTTCCAGCAGATATAAAATGCAAAAATATTTGCATTTTAACATTTAGATCTTTGATCCATTTTGACTTTAGCTTAGTAAATGACAAGATTTATGGGTGTAGACTCAATGTTCTGCCTATGGATATCCTGTTTTCTGAGCAACATTTATTAAAAAGATTATCTTTCCTCCAGTGTATGTATGTTTTTGACCCCATTGTCAAAACCAAACAGCTATCTTGCCTGGGTTGTTTCTGTTCCTTCTGTTCTGCTCCACTGACCCACAGGCCAGTACCATCCTGTTTCATTGTTTATTTTTCTATTCATTTTTTTCCTTTGGTACTGGGAATCGAACTCAGGACCTCATGCTTGCCAGGCAGGCGCTGTGTCACTGAGCTATACTCTCAGCCCCTGAGTACCCTGCTGTTTTAATCACTGTGCCTTTGTAGTCTGACTTCAAGCCTGGAATTGTGATGCCACTTACTTCTCTTTTTGTTACCCAGAACTGCTTTTGCTATTCTGACCGCTTCTTGTTCCCCATGAATTTTAGGGATGGTTTTCTTTCCATCTGTGAGATATGCCATTGTATTCTGATTGGGACTGCTTTAAACCTGTGTATCCGTTGAGGAAGTGTTTCCATTTTTATTATACTGCTTCTACCTGTTCAAGAACAGGGAATATCTTTCCATTTTCTGATAGTCTCCTGATTTCCTTTTTCAGAGTAATATAATTTTCACAGTGGAGGTCTTTCACTTCCTCGGTTAGATTAATTCCTAAGCATTTAATTTTCTGATGCTAGCATGGATGTTGTTGTTTTTCTAATGTCTTTTTTCAGTGAGTTCATTACTGGTGCATAGGCGTGCTATTGATTTATGTGTATTGATTTTGTATCCTGCTACATTGCTGAATTTGGTTATTAATTCTAAGAGTCTTTTGGTGGAGTTTTTTGTTTTCGTTTTCGGCTCTTATAAGGAAAGGATCCTGTCATCTACAGAGAATGACACTTCATCCCTTCACGTCATCCTTTCCTGTGCATGGCCCTTTTATTCCTTTCTCCTGCCCGACTGCTCTGGTTAATGTTGAACAGGCGTGGTGTGGTAATTCCTGCAGTTTCTGGATCACACCCTTAGTCCTCCTTGTGGATCCGAGGTTGGAAGCCACCGGCAGAGTACACTGGACTAAGAGCGAGAATCTCTGAACCATGGGTTCAAGTCTCGGTTCCCTCCTTAGCCAACTCTGTGAGCTTAGGCAGCTGTCATTCTCCCTCTGCGCTTCAGTGCCACGTGGCTCCCATGGGGACGGTGCCACCTCTCTCGTGGGGTTCTGTGCATGGGAACAAGAGAGGGCAGGCTCATGACCTGGCACAGCCCCTGGCCCTTGGCAGAGACCAGGCAGGAGGTAAGAGCCCCACTATGGAAGGCCGAGAAAATGCAGGACTCGGAGTTTAGATGACTGAGGAAGGAGGCCTTGCTGCCTCCACTTCCGGCCCAACGATTACCTCCTCCAGGCTGCCACCTTGCTCACATCTGTCCTCTGCTGTGTCCCAGCACCTGACTTACACCAGGTACTTAGAAAGAGCTTGGTGATGTCTCAGGGAAGCGGCTGCCAAAGGCTGAGGCAAGGAGTGGTGTGGGGAGGATATCCCGGCCTCACCAGGCACCCAAGCTCAAGGAGCAGGAGCCCAGGGCAGCTGGGCCAACTGCTCCAGGCCCTGCATTATCCAGAGTTTCTGCTCCCTCCAGCAGGAAGGCTCAGCGACTCAGAATTTAAAAAAAAAAAAAAAAAAAAAAACTAATTAAGAAGCTTTGCGATTAAATGAAACTGAAAGTGTTTCTCCCCAAAGACAGGAGCGGAAATGAGGAATCCCAGAGCGGGCCCTGCCTGCGACCCATTTCCTACTGCAGCGGGGCGGCCTGGGGCGGCTGGTGGAGGTGTGAACTGCAAGTGGCTCTGTCCTACTTTCTCCTACTGCCCATGCAGCCCCAGGCTCCAGCTCAGGTCCCAGGGCCAGGGGCTTGTACTGCAGCCGAGGTGGCCACCTACTCACACCCCTCCAGCCCACGGCGTGAGCTGATCAC